TGTGTGTGTGTGTGTGTGTGTGTGTGTGTGTGTGTGTGTGTGTGTGTATTGTCAACCCTCTTTATAAGTGAGATTCATTTGATGCCAGCTCCCCACACCCGTTCACCTATGTTTATATATTTTTCTTCTCATGTAGCCCACTTACGAGAAATGGCAAATTCCATTGGTTTCGTGCAAAAACTTTTTAGTTTTTTGTGATAAAAATTGTCCATTTTACCTCCTGTGAACCTCTCTATCTCTCATTTCGTCATGAACTCTTCCCCTATCCATAGTTTCTTCCATGTTCTACCAATATTTTAAAAAATTGCAAATTAGAGATACCATAAAAGGAAAGTAATGCTGTAACAACTGAAAACAGTGATGCATAAGAAAAAAACAAAACAAAAGATTCTCCACAAGGACTACATTTTAATTTGCTTATGATGTCACACTTAACCCATTTGGAGCTTATCTTTGTATATGGTTTGAGATATTGGTCTGTACTTAATTTCTGCCAGACTATTTTCCAATTTTCCCATCAGTTTTTGTCAGATAATGAGTTCTTGCCCCGCTAGCTGAGCGCTTTGGCCTAATCAAACAGTAGGTTACTGTATTCATTTGCTTCTGTGTATTGTGTACCTAATCTATTCCACTAATCCACCTCTCCATTTATTCCCTGATACCAAATTGTTTTGACCATTACAGCATTGTGGTACAGTATGAGATCGGGTAATGCTGGACCCCCTTCTTTACCATTTTTTTTCCTTTGATTCCCTTGATATTCTTGAACTTTTTGTTCCTCCAAATGATTTTGTTATTACTTTTTCTAGCTCTGTAACATAGTACTTTGGTAGGTTGTTATGGTACTGAAGAAATACATTTAGTTAGTATTGCTGTTTTTAATCAATTTGCTTGACCTACAGGTTATTCTTGGTCATAAGCCTATATCTTTTACCGTTTTAAATATTGCACTCCAAAGACTTCCTTCATTTTTTGTAGTAGCTGCCTGGTCTTGTATGACTATGGTCACTTGGTACTTGAACTACTTATTTTTGAATACTTGCAGTATTTTTTATTTGATGTGGGAGCTCTAGATTTTGGCAGTGACATTCCTAGGATTTCCTTTCTGGAGATAATTGGTGTAGTTATTCTATCTTTGCCTCAATGATTCTTACAGATCTGGAGAGTTTTCGTTTATGACATCTTGAAATATGGTATCCAGGCTTTTAAAAAAAATTAATGGTTTTTCATAGAATTGAATAATATTTAAATTTCCTCTTTCTGACCTGATTTTGAATTCAGTTCTTTTTTGATATCAGATATCTTACCTTTTATTTTTTCAATCTTTTGATTTCATTCTAATATTTCTTGCTCTCTCCCAAAGTCATTGATTTCTGTTCTGTTCTAGTTTTCAGTTAGCCCATTTCCTGGGTAAGGTTAACCACTTTCCTCTTCTAATGTATTAATTCTCCTTACAGTTCTTTTCTCAAGAACTTCTTTTAATTATTTTATCTTTTGCCTCATTTCTTTTAGGTATTCATGTAGTGTTTATGGAGAATCTTTTGTTTTTTCTTATGCGTCACTGTTTTCAGATGTTACAGCATTACTTTCCTTTTATGGTATCCCCAATTTGCAATTTTTTTATATTGGTAGGTGTTTTCTTTGGTTTACTCATCTTTCCAAATTTAGTTCCTGAATTGGGACTTTCTGTCCCTACCTCCTGCAACACTTTTAACCGTTCCCCAATTGATAGCTATCTACTTTGTTTCCAGCTTTTTTGCTGGCACAAAAAACAAAAAAGCCTCATGAATATTTTTGATGTGTATGAGACCTTTTCTGTCTGTCTTGTACCTTAGCAGTGTGATCTCTGGGCCAAAGGGTATGAACGTTTTACTTACTTTTTTAGCATAATTCCAAATTGCTTTTCAGAATGATTGAATCAATTCAGAGCTCTACCAACAGCGTATTTAGTGTGTTTGTCTTTGTCTTTTCATAGTTCTTCCAACATTATTTCCTTCTTTTTTTTTTTTGCCAGTTTGCTAAGTATGAAGTAAAACCTCAGCTGTTTTCTGATTTGCAAACTGATTTGCAGTTTTCTTGTTATTTAGTGATAGCACTTTTTCTTATGGTTGTTTGTAGTTGCAATTTTTGGGAAAGCTGTTCATATCCTTTTGACTACTTATCCTTGAGGAATGGTTCTTGGTTCTCTAATTCTATACATTTTGTAGCTATCACATGTTTGATACAAACTTTTTTTCCTAATTGTTACTTTCTTTTCTTATCCTAATTGCATTGATTTTATTTGTGCAACAGCTTTTCAGATTCATATATGGTAGTCAAAATTCCAGTATCTTTTAACTGCTAAATTCAATAGTTTTCTCAAGCCTACTTTTCCTTGACTTCTCTTTTGACACTTGTACCAACTTCTGGATCTACTCTCTTCTCTTGGCATCTGTGATACTTCTCTGTCCCAATCTTTCTCCTAACTATTTGAGTGTTCCTTCTCAGTGTACTTTGCTAGATCATCATCCATATCCCAACCCACCCTCCCAGGTATGTGTCCCCTAATATTCTGTCCTAACACTCTTCTGTTCTTATATGCTTTATCTTAGTAAGATCATCTCTTCCATTCTCTCAAACACTTTCTTTAGTAACCTCAGAATTATCCTAAACATTTTCTCTCCTTTACCCTATACAATCAGTTGCCAAATCTTACTGATTCGGGGCAGCTAGGTGGCACAGTGGATAGAGCACTGGCCCTGAAGTCAGGAGGTCCTGAATTCAAATCCAACCTCAGACCAAACACTTGACACTTACTAAATGAGTGACCCTGGGCAAGTCACTTAACCCCAATTTCCTAAAAAAAAAAAAAATCTTACTGATTCTATCTCTGTGATAGTTCTCACACTTATTCTTGACTCTTCATTTACATTGGCACTAATTAGGCCTGGTCTCACCTGGACTAATAGCTGCCTAATTGGTCTCCCTCATTCCTGTCTCTCCCCATTCAGAGTTTCCAAAATAATCTTCCTACGACAACAACTTTATCATGCCATTTCCCTATTCAGAAATTTTTAGTGGCCCCTTATAGGATAAAATACCAACTCATTAGCCTGGCATTCAGCCTGATTCCAGCCTACCTTTTCAATTTTATTTCACAAGACTTCCTTTCATGCATTCTGCATTCCAGGCAGACTAGACTATTTATTAACTATTTCCCAAACTAAGCATCCTCTGCTTCCATGCATTCACCCCAGATGCCCCTGTACCTAGAATGTACTCCATCATTACGGCCTTTCAAAACTCCTACATGAGTCAGCTTACATATCACTTCTATGAAACCTTCCCAAATCCTCATAATTATTGGTATTCTCTCCTTCACATTACCTTGTATTTACTTACCTGTAGGAAACCTTTAGCCCTCTACTTAAAACCAATGGGCAGTAGCTCTATTTATGCCTGCAGTTGTGAAAACAAGACTTCAATTTGAAAGTCTTCAATGTCAGTATCTTAAAAGGCCACAGGATGGGGCTGTTATTCCATGAAAGTCTCTAACTATTGTAACTGGTGGGTGTGTGTGGGTGTGTGTGTACATGTACACACACTTATGTGTTGTTCTATAAGGTATCCTATGTAGATTTCTCTCCAGCTTTCCTTTATATGTATTTGTCTGTTTTGTACCTTTAGATTTCCCCTTTCTTGTTCCCTTACTGATATAGGAGATATGGCTGTTTAAAAAAAAAAAGTCATTTTTGTAGTCATACATTATGCATCAGTTCTGTATTTTATACATATGTCAGAAATTGTATCTTTATAAAAGTCCCCTTCAGAGCATTCACTTTGGGAGACTATGTATGTTTTACAATAATTCCACCATTGCTCAAAATGTTTTTAGAATTCCTCTTTTAGAATTGTCCTCACAATTTCTTGAATAAGAAAAAGGGATATTCTCTTGAAAGTCTTAAGCAATGCAAGTCTTAATGCTTTAAAGGTGAATTTGACTTAATGGGGGTGGGGGGGGAGCGGGGAACAAAAGTTTTTTTGAACCAGTGAAGTGGGTGGCCCCACTTGGTAATGTGTTCTTGGTCAGAGAACAGAGTGTGACTATAAAGTAAGGAAACTAATGGTTTTTTTTAGCTTTTTAAGTGTCTCTGAATATAATTCCAGAAATGTTTTTTGTAATGGCAGCATTGTTGTAATAAGCCTGCCAAAATGGTTGCTTTGAAGGACATTGATTTAGTTGTTTGAGTTCTGGTATGTTTATTTTTTAAAAATCAGTCTGGTTATTATACTTTTTACACATATTCTATTATTTGTTATTGAGTATAGTTTTATGTTCTCTTTCTTAAGTTAAAAAGCAGGTAGGCAGAATTTTTTTTTTCAACTAAATTAAGAAATTATACTATGTGTCAGCCATATTATTCAATATTGTTTTAGACTATTTAAAATAAGTAGACAGTATAAAATACCTGAGAATACACCTGCCAAAACAGACACAGGAACTATACGAATATAAACATAAAATGCTTTTTATACAAATAAAGTTAGATCTAAGTAATTGAAGTAATATTTATTGTTCATGGGTAGGTAAAGCCAATATAATTTTAAAAAATCACAGTTTTACCTAACTAATCTATTTAAAAACCATCCCAATTAAATTACTAAAAATTATCTTACTGAGTTAGAAAAAAATAATATAAAAGTTCATTTAGAAGAACAAAAGGTCAGGAACTTCAAAAAAACCAGAGGAAAAAAGATGTAAAGGAAGCAGATCTAGTAGTGTTAGACCTTAAACCATGTTATAAGGTGAGAGCATTGTTGAAGTGTAAAATGGATAATTTTGATTATTTTAAATTAAAATCTTCTTGTATAAATAAAACCTATATGGCCAAGAATAGAAGGTATGCAGGAAATTGGGAAAAAACTTTCATAGACAATCTTTCAGAGAGAATGGGATCAGGTTAGAATATTGCTATGGTGTAGGAAATGATGAATTAGTTGATTTAGAAAAACATGGCAAGACCTGAATTTATAAAAGAAGATATTATCCACCTTCAGAGAAACAGTTGACAAGTAGAAATAAGCTTAGTATGGTCTTACATATATGTGTATAAGTCTATATGTTTATATAGGTGTATGTTTATAGATATCTATGTATATTACATTGTGTGTGTGTGTGTGTGTGTGTGTGTGTGTGTGTGTCCGGGTTTAATTGTATGGGGGGGAGGGAGGAGAGTAAAGTAAAAAGTGCATAGCAGAGAACAGAAGAAAAGCTGGACAGCTTTGAAAACAAAATGTGTAGTATTTATTATATAAGTTTTCTTGAAATGGAAATTTATTGCTATATATTGAATCCTCTCCTGTTCTGCTCTGTATATGGCCGTTTTGTTATTCTTTTTTTATTTTGTGCTTAAGTTTAAAATAAATTTTAAAACTTTTTCTTAAAAAAAAGATTTAAAAAAATGTTTTTCAAATTATATGACCTTTTTCTATTCTTCCATCCCAGGAGGGTCAGTGGCCCTTAATAGAAAAAGAGTTCCCTGCCCTCTGGTTTAAAAGATATTATGAGAACTAAATAGGTTTTATTTTATTTATAAACATTAAAGCAACTGTACATATAAGCTATTTATGGATTTGAGGCTTTTCTTTTTAAAGATTCTTTTAAGTGCTCAAGTTACTATTGTCTTCTGTTAATTATGGAAATGATCTATGTTCATTAGCTGTTTTGTTTTAGATGACAATGAAAAGAAGAAATATCCTGATGGAATTGAGCGACATACAGTTGATGAACCTTTAGGTGCTAACTCTGAGGAATTTAACGAAGACGATTTTGATATAGATTTTATTCCACCTTCTCCAGAAGAAGGAGTGTTTTCTTCCTCTTCTTCCTCTTTGAGGTGCCTTAGGTAAAATAGCCAACTGATAAGCAAACGTTTCTGTTTATTATTGAGCTGCTTTAAATAATTTGACTTGGGTAAGTCGTGTTACATTTTCCTAATCCTGTACATTAGTGTGTTTTGTTTTCTTGTTTGCTCATTCTACAAAGAAAAAACCCCAAATCACTACTCAGCTTACACATTTAAAATCTTCATGGGCCTCCCAATTGTTTGGTGTGATTGGATTTATAATAAAGACATATTACAAAGAATCATTCCTGGGTTTCTGAGCCTAGTTGAAGCATCAGCAATACCCCCACCTTTATGTGTAGTAAGGAAAAAGAAGTACTTTGGCCTCAGTGAGGTAGGGTTGTCCCCTACTCTTGTTACTTTAAACATGACACATCATTTATGTAAGTGAAGTGAGTTGATATTCTAGAGAGGAATCTGTGGAGTTCTTCTGATGCCTGGAATTGCTAGTCCCTGTCATCCTCATCCTCCAAATTAGAGCATCACCAGCTAAGTGGTCTTTCCTTTTCCCAGTCTGACACCCTCCGTTGAGCGGTAGTAAATATGTTGTGCTGTTTCCCCAAAATGAGGATGTAGCAAAATCCCATTATGTTCCATAGCAGGAGACACAAAGTATTGTGTATATCCTACATCACCCCTTTTCTGTTCATGCATTTTTTAGGAGATGGTTGGTTAGAATTTGGAGGTTGTAAGCAAAGTCAAGGCATAATTGTTATTTGATAGGACAAGGGAACTATAAGAAGTTCCTCATCCCCTGCCCCCCAAAGAACTTGAAACCTTACATAATTTAAGTTTCACTTATAGAGACTTTTCTTTTTTAGATTAATTTTTATTGAAAATCTTTTCGTTTTGTATTACCTTCATTCTCATCCAATCTCTTCCTCTCTCATCCTAGAGTTATCCCTTATAAGAGAGAATAAAAAAGAAAAAGGAAAAAAGGGTTCAACACAACTAATCACATCAGTCATGAAAGTAGCTGCAGTGTTCTACATGCAGAGTTTCCCCTTCTGCAAAGGAAGTAGAGAGGCTCATTTTTATGCTAAAGAGAGACTCCTACATAAACAGCACAATACAGAATTCATTTATTAAGTGCTTGTCATGTGCGTAGGGCTAGGAAACTTGTTTCAAAAGATTATTCACTGAAGGAATTCATTTTGCTGGATCAACAAAACATTCTTGTTTTGCACCATGCATGAAATATGGAAAACAGCTTTGTTACATAGGGAACTTTTTCTGATAGTATTCCTGTAATTAAATTTTATCTGTACGTTATTGTCAGATCTGTCATGGAGGATTATCAGAGACAGAAATGAAATATCTATAGAAATATATTTTTGGTTAGTCCATGTTATATTTATTTTCTATTTTGTTATTTGCAGTACTCTAAAGGAGCCTTCCATCTGTGATGGGAAAAAAAATTCTACTAAGCTATCAAATTACTTTTCATCAGAATCTGAGAGAACAACTAGCCCACAGCCAGTACAGGAGACCAGTACAAAATATGATGGTATGAAAAACATTTTAGATAGAGCAAATGTTTGTTATTCCCATTTGAGGATGATGAAGCTGCTGAGTTTGTACAAAAGTTTATTTTCCATCTTTGGTCATGCTTTTTAAAGTATGATTAATTTTCCATTTCTTTTATGATTATTTTCCCTAGTTCTTTCACAGGCCATCACCCCTGCTTGACCCTTTAGTTAATCAGTTCAACTCAGTGTTATCCTCTACTCTTAAGTCCCTTGTACTGTTGTTGTAAAGGCCTTGAAAATCCCCAACCCTCGATTGCTACTACCGTCCTTTGCCTTGACTGTAGTAACTGGAGAAAGTCATGCAACCATACTGACTAGCCCACTGTAAATTTATGTTATCTAATCTCAGTTAGGCCCTTATTTTGGCAAGGCAATCCTTTTGTTCTTCCCTGACTCTATCCTAGTTCTCACATTGGTTATTCTTTCTTCTCTTCTTTCTTTAAACCTCCCCCAGCAGGAGTCAGGAAGACTGGAGTTCAAATCCAGCCTCAGGCACTTCCTAGCAGTGTGATCCCTGGACAGGTCACTTAACCTCCTTTTGCCATAATTTCCGCAGCTGTAAAATGGGGATAAAAATAATACCTCCCATGATCGTTGTGAGAATCAAATAACATTTAATAAAAGTGCTAAGCACAGTGCCAGGCACTTAATAAATGCTTGTTCTTCCCTCCTTCCCCAGTCTCACAGCTAAAGGAAGACCTCATTCCCCCTCTCTCAGTTGCCACCTACCTTTATTCCCACTCTCTTACGTTCAATCTGTCCCTTTCCTGCTGCCCAAGACAAGCCCAGACTTCTCCTAGACCTTGCCATCTCCTCAGGTTATCATCCTTCAGCACTCTTCTTTCTCTGTCAACTCTTAAAACATTGTACCATCTTTAAATGTTTTTTGGTGTTCCTTTTGTCTAGGCCAGATAGATACCTTTCCCTCCCCATGACTAGCAATTGGTCCTATTCTTCCAGAAGATAGTATTCTAGTTCTTGTGCTCTGTTTGGATCTTGTAACATATGTAACCAGAGATAGGGCTGACATGGAAACAGTATATTTCCCTACATCATTTCTCTCAGTAGGAGTGACCATAACACATAAGTGGAATATTTTTACCCTTTGATTATGCTCCCTAAGCATAGGGAGAATTGAGTACTACTAATAAATTAATTTTTAAAACCATACATAAGGAAAAAATTTTCATGACATTTGTAACTTTTACCATTTTGAATATCCTTTTGAGACAAACCGTGAATAACATGCAAAGCATTTTTCTCACAGAAACTTTGTAATGTAGGTGGTGCCGGGGTTTGGTCTCCATTTTACTATTCACTGTTGGCACAGAAGGTTATGGTTACAAAGCTAATAAGTGGTGGAACTGGAACTTCCATCAATGTCTCCTGACCATGAATCCAGGATTCCTTCTACAATGTCACTCACCACATCTGAACACAAAGTTTTTCTTGAAGAATATTATATTATATAGTTATTTTATTTAATTGGTTCTCCTATTTGTGGTTTCAGAATGTTTCATGACGTTAAGCTTACCTGATCTTTCTGGGCCTTTGTTTCAACACCTGTAAAATGAAAAGATTAAGATGATCCCAAATGTCCCTTCAAGCTCTAACCTATCATTCTTTATTCCTCTTTATTCCCTTATTATTTGGCCAGAAAGGTGAGCCAATATAAGCTAAGAAATGAGAACAAGTGTAAAAGATCTCATTTGTTTTTCATTTAGGCTATGAAAATAACATACATGATAACATACTTCAGGTACCTGGATTTCATTAGTGTGGCTATTCTCTTCCAATATTGATGGTGTGGCCCCTTTCACCTTTTTAGATCAACATCCCTGGGGACAAACCAATCGTAAGCCTCTCCAGACTTAACTTGACTGGTTCTCAAACCACAGAGCCCATACCCAAACCTTTACAGCTTGATAGCATCTCTAAGAGCTTGCACTATCCTGACATAATACAGATGTCATCAGAGTAGAACTTCAATGTAGGATGTTAATAATCTTCATAAAAAAATTTTAATGTTGCTGTTTTTAACCTTCTAAATAAAAAGAATGGCTCTTTGGTATATCTTAAAAATGTTACTTATTGAGAAACTCAAATTAGTGTTATTTTGCAGGTAAACTATTAACTTTGCAACAACAGCTTTTTCATGTGATGGAGGACATCTGTTCATTAGTTGATACTGTTCCTACTTATCAACTTCAAGGCTTGGATTGCGGAAACAAACTTCTTCAGCATCGAGATCTCAGGTGTCTGAATTTTTCTTATTTGGCATGCATATTCTGTCTATATACAAAATATTTGTGAGGTGGTGTAGGTACTCAAAATTTTTTAGTCTTTCAAAATACTTAAGAATAGGAGATATAGATACACACACACACACACACAAACACACAACATCCCTGTGAGTGTACTTTTCTGATAGTAGGTTTTTAGGGGCAAGAGGCTTGGGGAGCATTAGTCTTTGGAAATTATGGAAAATAACTATTAGTTTTAAAGGTGAGTAACAGGCAACTAAAAATTAGTTTATGTGAAGTGGGGAAATGAAAAAGGGCTTGTGCTGTTTGAAATCCCTCTAAGAAAAAGAGCCAAGCATTTAAGCCCTTTCTTCAAGTAATGGGACAGGGAAGGAGGTTGAGGGTAGTAAAGAGAGAGAAAAGAACAGAACAGGTCATTGTTCTGACCCACCTCCACCTCCCCCACACTCTTTTTAAGACTTTATTGAGACAATGGTAGTAATGATCCCACCTCTGATAGGACCAAAGAGTAAGAGAAAAATTCTGACTTTCAGTCTTTTTTTTTTAAAAATTTTTTTTAATTTTTTTTAGGCAATTGGGGCTAAGTGACTTGCCCAGGGTCACACAGCTAGGAAGTGTCGAGTGTTTGGGCTGAGGCCAGATTTGAATTCGGGTCCTCCTGACTTCAGGGCCAGTGCTCTATCCACTGTACCACCTAGCTCCCCCTACTTTCCGTCCTTTTAATACCACAAAACTACTTAAAACAGGTAAGCTATAGAGAAGACGAATAGCTGAAGTTAAGGGTATAAAAACAGGGACAACTAGGTGGTGTGGTGAATAGAGCTCTGGCCTTGGAGTAAGGAAGACCTGAGTTCAATCCAGCCTCAGACACTTAACCCTTACTAGCTGTGTGACCTTTGGCAGATCACTTAACCCCAATCGCCTCACCCAAACAAAAAAGAAAAAAAAGATATAAAAACAGCAATACTTTGAGTACAGTATAACAAACAATGTAATAATGCAACATATACTATATTATAATGTAAAAGTATCCAAAGAGTAGAATAACAAAGGGTCATTGTCTTCATAGAAAGAGAGCACATGCTACAGAAATAGTTGAAATTATAATTCCACGGTTGCCAGAAGTATACTGTTCATGTATTTTGATGTAAAAGGGATCCATTTTAATTTATGAAGCTGAGATATTACTACCCACTGTGAAGTTTTATTTAATTGGAAAAATTTTTTAAAAATCTAAAATGTTGGAGTTTTATCACCTCTCTCTGGATCAGTGGTCTCCAACTATTTTTTATTGCTGTACTTGTGAGCTTGCTCTTAAATAGATATATAATCTTAATTAAATTGCCCAAATAAGAGCTCCCAAGATCCAAATACCAACCAGCCTCGCCTTTTGTCTATCATCCCCAAATCCAGTCATGTGAATGGATAGATGTTTATGAGACCCATTAATCTTCCTTTCTCTACCACTATGATATGACAGCCCCACATTCCCATCAAATTTGCCCTACTTCTAACCTCTTGAAAATAAGCAAAGGTAAGTGCAGACCTCCATACCAAAATGTTCAGAGACATTGGCTGGGAATTATATCTAGATGATCTTAAATCAGCCAAAGTCTATGTAGTTACTATTTTAAATCATTACCTTTTTTAAAATACCCCTTTAGTTCAAATTTTTGAGGTAGGAGAAAAATGACTATTTCTTAGAACAGTTTGAGAGGTGGGGTGAATGAGAACAGAAAGTATATTTTTATAGCTGATAGATTTTGGCCTGATGTTATTTTTTTCTTTCTTTAGAAGAAAACTCTTAGCTGATGCAAATTCCAACAAAAATGACACTAGTCCTCCACCCTTGAATTGGATATACCAGCCTAATTCACAGGATCGTATTGTAAATGGCAAGACAGCTTTTTCCTTTCTGCATTCATTTCAAAAGGGTAAATCTCCCTTCACAGGAAATTTAGTAAAAGAGTTTAAATCTCCGCACCTTCCTTTTAATCCTGTCTCCACTGCTGATTGTCAAGAAAATTTTCTTGCTAAAACTACAAGGACGTTTCCAAATCTGGATGTTTCAGCAGGGATGCGCGGCACACAAAGAACTACTCCAGAAAAGTCAGAGCTGTCATCTGCTAAGACAAATATCTCTGAAAGAATATTATTCAGTTCCCAGTCACCAGAACCCTTTGTTAGTAGCAATTCCACTGAAATATCAAAGACAGAAGAGAAATATAAAAGGTCTCATCTCCTAGGCAATTTTCTCACAAGCACTGCTATAAAAGATCAGAATAAACACATTAATTTGGTTAATGACCTGAAAAGTAACAATTTTTCTGAAACCCAAGATATTGATATTTTTGATATAGATGATTTTGATGATTATGACTGGGAAAACCCAAGTTACAATTCAGTAGAGGAAGAATCATCCAAAAATATCTATCTGCCTATTCGGGAAGGTCAGCCAGTTAAATCATTTACAGAAAAAACTCCGATGACCAAGACAAACTGCCTCTCAGTAGTACCTGCTAACCAGAATAGAAGCATCTCAATCCAGAATTGCCCCGGTAAGTTAAAATGTTAAATGTCTGTGTGCTGATCTCCAAGATCCTTTAAACACAAGGTTCTGTGATTCTTAGACAAAATTGTCCAAAACAGGAATTTCATGGGCTAAAGTCATACCAAACTTTCAACTAAAAATCACATTATTTCTATGCAAGTTTATACTTGTAAATTATAAATCCATTCCCCCCAAAAATGTTATTTTGTGGCTTATAGTGACTGTAGTTTTATAAAATGTGAAATTATAATTGAGTCTTTTGTAATAAGAAGACTAACATCATTATAAGTGTTTTACATTTATATAATTTTTATTGTCCCTAAAACAATTAGGCTAATATGCTTTGGGGCCAGAAGAAAGCAAAAAAAATTTTTTTCATGAATTTTAATTGTGCATATTTTGAGATTACTAAATTGTTAAGGATCTAGTTAGACAGAAGTTGAAATTTTACATACTAAAAAATTCAGCACAGAGTGTAGCCCCAATGAGTTGTGGAGTCACAACTTTAATAAAAATAAATAAAACGGTTTATTTGTTAGGTATTCGAATCCTTGTGCAAAAAACTTGGAAATGTTAAATTAGCCCCTGAAAAGAGGAGTTACTTGAAAAGAATAACAGATGAAAGCCAGAACATAAGGAAACCTTACATCAGCCCTATAAAACTTTACAAGAAATTTTTTTAGCTGAAATAACTTTGTGTGCAAAATTTCATAAAATCTTGTTTTTAATGCATCAGTATCATGAAGATTCTGGTTTGTTTTTTTAACCTTTAAAATTGCACATTAATTGATTTATTTTTGTAATATGATGAAATAATGTGTCATAATTGATGTACAAAATATCTTTATGAGACAGTTGAGTGTTGCAGTTAGAGTGACTGCCAGAGCTAAGATTAGTGTATTTTGTTCTCTACACTGAACTATAATGGTGGCAGTAGGAATCAAAAAAGTCATTGTGAAGGAAGAATCAACAGGACTTAGTGACTAACTCACTGTGGGAGGTGAGGAAAAGGAAGGATGAGATGGCTGTAATTGGTCACTGAAAGAATGTTTTTACCTTTAACAGAAATGGGGAAGTCAGCAGGTGGGAACCTAGTAGGTGGAGCTGGTGATGTTGGGAGAAGAAGAATTCTATTCTCAACATGTTGAATTTAATGTGATAAAGCAAATGTTTATGGGAGAGAAGGCTTTTATCTGATAAATGTGTCACACATTTCCCCCTACTCCTTTGCTGTCCTCTGGAAATTTTATTATTACATTTAATTGTGCAAGAGTTTTTGGACTTTTGTGTATTCAGACATCCATCTCATTTCTAAAGACACCCTCTACTTCTTTCCTAGCCACAAATTTGTTTTCTTTCCACAGCTAGGATAAGTATATTGTCATATTTTATCGTAATATGTGTTTTGAAGTATGAGTTAAAGTTAATTTTTACCTGTGTTAATATCCACTGTCCCAATCACCTTTTGTAAAATGTGATTCCTTTTACTAATGATGTGTTATTTCAGGGTTATTATGTATTACTAAGCTCTATGGTGATACATAATCATGGTGTGTAGGTGATCTTGGGTTCTTAGAAGCTCTGCTAGTAGAACACAAGTTCTGGCAGGTTCATCCATGCTCAAAAGATGCTTAAAACTTCCTGAAGCCTTCAGGGCCACCTGGTATTTGCAAAAGACCACTGTGGAAAGAATCACAGTTTGTGCATCAAAGTTTGTTGTAGAAGATGAATACAGAAAATCTAAATTAAATCAACACATCTTGATACTTGGTGATTGCAAAGGCAATCATAGGTAAGAACATTGAAAAATTGGAAAGTATAGTTAAGGAATAAGAAGTGAGAGGCCAAAGATTTCTAGACCATGTGGAAGCCTGATGCCTGTATATCCTGAATACTTAGATAAAAGAATTGGAATAGACTAGACATGGGGAACACAAACAAAATCACCAAAAATAAAACAGGTTGTATTTTAATGTGTAGGAAACAATTCATATTGATGCAGAAATTTCTGAAATCAGTTTACCAGTCATACAACCAACTTGTTATACCAAGATATCAAAATTAAAAGTTAAGAGAAAGAATAAAAATGAGAAGATATGGCATGCAGTTGAGGCAGTTTTAACTTGACAAATTTAAGTATGCTGTTGACATCAACAAAAAAAATAGACATTTACATAGACTATTATAATTTTCTAAGGAAGTTTAACTTACATAAATCAGTTGTCATAATGAGAAAACCATTAAATTCTAGCCACTACCTCAACCGATAAACATCTGGTCTCCTTGCCAGACAGAAAGAGATAATGTGACATAAAGCTGAATGGAATATAACTCATTTGGTAAAATCTTATATTTAGGAGGATAGCAAAAGACTAGAAGTAGTGCCTCAAAACATCAAGAAGCACAGAAAGAAAGACAGATTTAAATGATATTTGGTGAGCAATGCAAGTAAACAAAGTCATCTCGCAGACATTCAAAGACAACAGGAAAAAATGGAAAAGATCTGTAAACATTTTTATAATAAGCTTCACTATCAAAGGTAGTGGAGCTACCACATTTAGTTTCTAACAGTGCCTTCCCAGTTGTGGGAAAGAGGGAATGGCACTGAAATAAAAAGATAGGAAAAACAGTTGGATCAAATTACGTATACACCTTGTGTATATACTTTATACTGTAGACAGACAGTAAAAATATGAAGGTGTTATGGGATAGATTATCAGGATATCTGAGATGGAAGATACCAACGGTACAGGAAAATCTGAGACGTTACAAAAAAAGGGAGGGAGATGAGGAAGCCAAGAGTGTGCCCATAGATTTAGAACTGGAAGGGACTTTGTAGCCATACGTTATGAGATAAGCCTCTGCCTTCATTAAGATCGGCCTTGATGAAGGTATAAGAATGGCATGGGCAGGCTTTTACAAACAATATTCCACAATAAACCATATCTTTATTGACACGATTGACTGAAAGTTATAAAGACAAAATCCCACTGTATTTGTTTTTTGATGATAGAAAAATTAGTTGATAAAGTAAAGCAAGACATTCCCTTAAAAGCTGTTCTCCAAAAAGCTACTTCCTGTATGTGTGAGAATATTGAAAGAATTAACAGCAGAGATAACCTCCTTTAACCTCTGATTATTAATATCAGGAGAAATATAAAACAATGAGGCATATGCTTACAAAAGGTGTTTGCCAAAATCACAATGTCCAACCTAGAGTCCAAGTAGAAGAAAAGCTTCTTTTAAATGGTGAAGTGTTCCAGATGTTCCTCTTTGTTGATGACATTGTGCCGATTGCATAAAGCCCTGGAATATTTTATATCCTCATAATTGAAATCCACAATCAGGAGTTTGGCCTTACTCTCCCAACACGTGCCTTTTATGTTCCCTGGCCCAAGCTGTAATGAGGACAGGTAAACTAATTCTCCAGATGCAAGGGCACAAGGATCCTTTTAGGACCTCAAGGGAGGATGAATAGAATATATGTTTTCTAATTACTTTGCTTCATCACTAGGAAAGATAGTTGGCACACCATTCAAACCCCCTTGGAGCTGAGGCCCCAACCAGGATCAAGCAGGCCCTGCTTCCTGGTACGCAGAATCCTTCCAAGTCCTCCATCTGGGTGGAAGTTAGATGAAGTGGATACTTCCCATGTACTACCTCCACCTCAGAAGAGCAATGAGTACACTGCCTGGACCCCCACGAGTCCTAGGCCACAATTCTAACAGACAGACCTTGATTTCAGAATCCGTGAAGGGCTTCAGGGGATGGAGCATATACTCCACAACGTAAGAGAGACCAGGGCACACTAAATGGTGTCTCAGGTTAAGAGGGAAGGTAGAGCAGACATCTAGGTTGGTCCAGCATGGGGAAGATTCATCCTGACAACAGACTTCCTACTTGCCCACCTGGATTCTTTTCTTCCCTTTTTCATAAGAGAAGGGAAATTTTTTCATGGCCAGTAGTTGCAGCAAGGAGAACTCAGAGGAGAAGACTCAACAATGGTAGATGCAAGCAGCAGTGGGAGCAGCATGACCAAACGGAACTCTTGGGACTATAGCCTTGTTCCCAAGACCTCTCCAAACCCACAGGATGTCTTGGAAGAAAATCAAAGTCATCCATCACCAGGAAAACATGGTCTACCTTGGAATCTTCCCATCTGCCCTGAACTGTATCCCTCCTCTACACCTGGAAAAGCAACTCTCTAGACCTGGGACCTGACCTCTAGAGAACATGACCCTGGCCTCTGACATGAGGAAAGATGGAAATTTACTAGCTAAATTTCAACCAAAAACTTTATATAATTGCTGGATGGAATTGGAAAAAATGAGTATCATCATTTAATAATAAGAATAGCCAACAATGAATACACTTCTTCCATCTGTAACTACATAGCTTTGTAAAATATCTTTTTCAGCTGTGACAGCCATTAAAACCAAATATCATAGAAAGAGGAGGGGAGTCAAAGTAGTTGGAAGAGAACAAAGGGAGTATCAGGAAAGCCAAAGGAGGAGAGAGTTTCAGAGACAGGATCAACAGGGTCACAGCATGTTAGGATTTGATTGCTTGATAAGGAGGCCACTGGTGGCCTTTTGAGACAACAGGTATCTCCTATGAGACCAGAAATTAGATTGCAGATTGCTGAAGAAGGGTAAGAAGTTTGAAGGAAATGGAGACAGAAAATATAACTAGTAGTTATAATATAACTAGTAGTCCTGAATGCTAAACCTTTCTAAGATTTGGGATATGGTATATAGCAAGTGAATAAAAATTCTGTCTTTTTTGCTGCAGATGTGCACTAATTTTCGTAATATTGATTCTTTTCTTACAAGACAAACTGGTACAAAATAGACAATCTAGAAATCCAGAACATGAGCGTTTCAAAAGTGTTGATTTTCCACATTCAAAAGAAATGATGAAGATTTTTCACAAAAAATTTGGCCTGCATCATTTTCGTACAAATCAGCTAGAAGCAATCAATGCTGTTCTGCTTGGTGAAGACTGTTTCATCCTAATGCCCACTGGTATGTATTTATAGATATGAATTGGTGGGAGTCCATTTGCAGATGTTAAATGAAAACACATCTAAACTCTTTAACAAGAAATTAAAAGTATATCTCTATAGTCTTTCAATAGCTGGGGATCTATAAAATACATTACATTTGTCCCCAAATACTCTGATCTTGTTGTTAATGTGGGAACAGCTGCCCTCCCACCCTGAATTAACTTGCTGTATTGATGTTGAATTGATTTGTTTCTTATGAAATCTTTCCCTTTTTCAAGCAGCCTAAATATAGAAGCTTGCGGTGTTTTTTGATTTTTTTGTTTGTTTGTTTTTTGTTTTTGCCTCAGATTCAGTACCCTTTGCTACTGTTAACTTTAGTTTTTAAAAGAGTTGCACAACTTATAGGGAGGTTATGGTGAATAAATTTACTATAAATCACCTTTGCCCTTTTGTATATTTATATAGGATTTAAACATTTAATGCTTCCAGAAAAGATTCAAGTTACCTTCTCACATATCTGTTCAAGACCTTTATAATAATGGACATTCATTCATTTTTTAAACTATTACCTACATTTTGGTTTTGGAACTCTTTAAAATCACCCAAGCACACTAGCCTTCACCTCCAACCCCTAATTGGCTGATGTCCAAAATAAGAATTTGTCGATAAACATCTAGCAAGTATTCCAGAAACAAGTTAATGGTTTTCTTCAAACCATTCATACTTATTCTATGACAGGGTAATATTTAACATTTAGTAACTATATTAAATTTTGGCAAAGCTGAAATTTTTAGACTGATTTCATAGTGCATACTGAATTTTAATCATTAACATTTCAAGTTTCATAAGCTTGCTTGTTATTTTCTGCCTTGCACTTAGTCATATCACAAAGTAAAGCCTTCCTTACTTGCAAATACAATAAAGAATATATAGTAAAACCTTTAGGCTCTAAAACTCCCTAGCATTGGCTCCCCACTCACTAGTGGTCAGACTAAACTTGAAAACCTGAGAATAAGCAGAGGATCAGTTTGTTATCAGGCATTCCCTGTGATTTTTCTCTGGTCACTTAAAGTGAAAAGCACATGATTTAGAAATGTGTATTACTGCTTTCCCTTCATCCCCTGCCCGATACAGAGAATACTCCTCCTTACTTCAAGAGGACATTGGAAATATGACATTAATAAGCACAATCCTTTCCTCTGTCAGTACAGTAAATTCTGTTATGTGTATTCTGTTAAGTGGAACTCTTAATTAGCATTTCTGCATATTTGTATTTATATATATCTCACGGTGATAACTGAAGCAAGTGTGTGGTGCAGGGGGTAGATGAGTTCAAAAACTACCTGAGAAATGTACTAGCTGTGTGACCCTGAACAACTCAGCCTCTCTTAGCCTCAGTTTCCCTATCTATAAAATGAAGGGGCTGAATTCTCTAAGGTCCCTTCTAGCTCTGAATTTATGAGCTTATTATGTGAAGAATTACAGCATTAAGGCACTGCTCAAAGGTCCTAACAGTTATTTTCATTTTTTTAATTGTCAAAAATTGTTTTTTTCTCCCCATCTTCCTCACCATTATCACTAACCCTTTGGCAAAAGAAAAGTAAAACCCTTGTAATGAATATGCGTAGTCAAGCAAAACAAATCCCCACATTGACCATGTCCTAAAAAAAAAAAGTCTCATTTTGCATATTTTATCAATCCATTAACTCTGTGTGAGAAGGTAGACAGCACTCTTGATCAGTCTTCTGGAATCATAGTTGATTATTACATTAATTAGAATTCTTAAGTCTTTCAAAATTGTTCATTTTTACAGTGTTGTTGTGATATAAATTGTTATCCTAGTCCTGTTCACTTCATTCTACATTAGTATATGCAAGTCTTCCTAGGTTTTTCTGCTCTTTTGTTTCTTACAGCCCATTAGTATTACATTACCTTCATAAATTATAATTTGTTCTGTCAGTCCCCCATTGATGGACATCCACTTAACTTCCAGTTCTTTACATAACAAGGAAGTTGCAAAAACCATTTTTGTACACAAATTACCTCCTTTCTTTGATTTCTTTGGGCTATAAGCCTAGTAGTGCTTAACCTTCTTATTTGAAGAAAAATATATTTTATTGATGCTTTTTTCCCCCTACTTGATATTTTCAACATTCATTTTTGTAAGATTTTGAGTTCCAAATTTTTCTCCCTCCATTCCTTTCCTCCCCCCTCTCCAAGACAGCAAGCAATTAGGTTATACATGTACATCATGTTAAACATATTTCCACATTAGTCATGTTGTGAAAGAACAATCAGAACAAAAGGGGAAAACTATGAGAAAGAAAAAAAATGAAATTAGCATGTTTCAATCTGCATTCAGATCCCATAGTTCTTTCTCTAGATGTGGATAGTATTTTCCATCATGAATTTTTTGTCATTGTCTTAGATCATTGTGCTGCTGAGAAGACCTAAATTTATCATAGCTGATCATTGCACAGTGTTGCTGTTACTGTGTACAATGTTCTCCTAGTTCTGCCCACTTCACTCAGCATTAGTTCGTGTAAGTCTTTACAGGTTTTTCTGACATCTGCCTGCTCATCACTTCTTGCAGCACAATAGTATTTTATCACATTCATATTTTTTGCCACCACAAAAAGAATTGCTATAAATATTTTTGTACATGTGGGTCCTTTTTCCTTTTTTATGATTTCTTGGCATACAGACCTAATAGTGGTATTGTTGAATCAAAGGATATGCACAGTTTTATAGCCCTTTGGGCATAATTCCAAATTGCTCTCCAGAATGGTTGGATCAATTCACAACTCCACCAACAATTCATTAGTGTTACAATTTTCCCATATCTTCTCCCATCATTTATCATTTTCCCAGTTGTTTAAATCTGACTTTGTTTGTGTGAAAAGTGTTTTATAATTGTATTCATATAGTCCCTCAGTTTGTCTTGGCTGGTAGACTTCAGAGTGTGGAATTTCTCTATCTCCTGCTGCTGGGATTTATTGGTAATATACAGAAATGCCAATGATTTATATGGGATTATTTTATCCTGCAACTTTGCTAAAGTTGTTAATTGTTTCAAGTAGTTTTTTAGTTGATTCTCTAGGATTCTCTAAGTATACACATCATATCATCTGCACAGAGTGATAGTTTTGTTTCTTCATTGTATATTCTGATTCCTTCAATTTCTTTTTCTTATTGCTAAAGCTGACATTTCTACTGCAGTACTGAATAACAGTGGTGATAAGGGACATCCTGAACTTATTGGGAAAGCTTCAGCTTATCCGCATTGCATATTTGCTGATGATTTTAGATAGATACTACTTACCATTTTAAGAAAAACTCCATTTACTCAATGCTCTCTAGTGTTTTTAATAGGAATGGGTACTGTATTTTGTCAAGCTTTTTTTACATTAAGATAATCATGATTTCTGTTTTCCTAATATTGAACCAGCCCTGCATTACTGGTATAAATCTCACCTGGTCATAGTGTATTATCCTTGTGATAAATTGCTGTCATCTGTTTGCTAATACTTTATTTAAAATTTTTGCATCAATATTCATTAGGGAAATTGGTCTATAATTTTCTTTCGCTGTTTTGATTCTTTTTCTTTTCTTTTTTTTTTTTAACATGTGTTTTTAAAACTTTGGGTTACAAATTTTCTCCCTTCCTCCTTCCCCACCCACCTTCATTGAAAAGGCAAACATCTCGATACAGGTTATAGATATGTAGTCATGCAAAACACTTCCATAATAGTCCTGTTGTGAAAAACTAAGTATATTTCCCTTCATCCTATCGTACCCCCCATTTATTCTATTCTCTCTTTTGACCCTGTCCCTCCTCAGAAGTGTTTGCTTTTGATTATCCCCTCCCCCAGTCTGCCCTCCCCTCTATCGACCCACTGCACTCTTGTCCCCTTTCCCCCTTATTTTCCTGTAGGGTAAGATAGATTTCCATACCCCATTGTGTATGTTATTCCCTCCTTAAGCCAAGTCCTATGAGAATAAGATTCACTCATTCCCTCTCACCTCCCCCCATTTCCCCTCCACTGTAAAAGCGTTTTCTTGTCTGTTTCATGTGGGATATTTTACCCTCTTCTACTTCTGCCTTTGTCCTTCTCCCAGTATAATCCTCTGTCATCCCTTAATTTTATTTTCCAGATATCACCCCTTCATCTTCAACACCCCCTGAGCCCTCTATCTATCTATACATACGTATAATTTTTTCCCCTCCAACTACCCTAATACTGACAAAGGACTCATGAGTTTACAAATATCATGTTTCCCTGCAGGAATGTAAACAGTTCAGCCTTAATAAGTCTCTTATGATTTCTCTTTCCTGTTTACTTCTTCCATGTTTCACTTGAGTCTTGTATTTGAAAGTCAAATTTTTTATTCAGCTCTGGTCTTTTCCTCAGGAATGCTTGAAAGTCCCCTATTTCATTGAATGACCATTTTTTACCCTGAAGGGTTATACTCAGTTTTGCTGAGTAGGTGATTCTAGGTTGTAGTCCTAACTCCTTTGCCCTCTGGACCCTTAATGTAGAAGCTGCTAAATCTTGTGTTACTCTGATTGTGTTTCCACAGTACTTGAATTGTTTCCTTCTGGCTGCTTACAATATCTTCTTGACCTGGGGATTCTGGAATTTGGCTACAATATTCCTAGGAGTTTTCCTTTGGGGATCTCTTTCAGGAGGTGATCAGTAGATTCTTTCAATTTCTATTTTGCCCTCTGGTTTTAAAATATCAAGGCAGTTTTCCTTGATAATTTCTTGAAAGATGATGTCTAGGCTCTTTTTTTGATCATGGCTTTCAGATAGTCCAATAATTTTTAAGTTCTCTCTCCTGGATCTGTTTTCCAGGTCAGTTGTTTTTCCAGTGAGATATTTCACATTCTCTTCTATTTTTTCATTCCTTTTGATTAGTGTTACAGTGCTTTGATTTCTCAAATTGTCCCTATCTTCCAATTTCTCCACTCTAATTTTTAAGGAAGTATTTTCTTCAGTAAGCTTTTGGATTTCCTTT